TCGTGGGCTCGTTGGTTCCGGCATTTCTTGCACGAGCGAGAACTTTGCCAGGATATGTCAACTTCCACAGTGTTTCTGATGCTGAACGTGCTCTGGACACGCTGAACTATTCAAGCATCAAGGCTTGCATTGCTCGCTCATGCAACACCCCATGGAGACTCTGAACACTCCATCGCAGGGCCGCGCTTGCCGCATCATGTGGTCCCAGCGCGACCCTAGCCTTCGCAAAAGTCACGGCCTCGGATGCTGAGTACTCGCACTGGCTGGGACCGGAAGTGGAGGGGCTTGACTAAGCCGGGAGCGCGCTGCGCTCACCAGGTGGTCTTGGCAATGTTTTCGCCGGGAGCTGTGCGGTGTGAATGTGGGTGAAAGTAGTGGGTCAATGTTCTGCAGCGGGAACTAACTGAAGAATGACGTCGGAATCCAGGTCCGAAACCTGGACCGGAACATCGACAACAAGGCTTTGTACGATACCTTCAGCCTCTTCGGCAACATCCTCTCCTGCAAGGCAGAAGAGAGCGCCCAAAAGCCTTGAAAGGATGCTCTCAAATCCACAGAGAGAGAGGGGTGATTCCCGCCTCGCCTCATCCCCCAGACCCTGCTCTAAGAGCGTGCGCTGCGCGCAGTGGGCAGCTTGGGAGGTTTGCACCGGGCCAGATGGTAAGTCCCGCGGATACGGTTTTGTCGGCGGCCTAGTGTTTCGGAGCTTGCACAGGTCTTTTTCTTGCTGCTTCCATAACACTGAAGGCTCTTAAGCTTTCAAAAAGGGGCAATAAAAAGAGCAGAGCCTGAACACGAGAGCGGAAGCAGAGGTGCATTACGAGACCGAAGAGGCGGCCAAACAGGCCCTGCAGGGCCAAGGGCCTAGGGCCTGGGCCTTCGGACAAAGTGAGATGCTTGCGCGCCTTCTTTCCAAAGAGCCGCGATGGGTTTTGGGTTGGATCTTTGATGATTGAGTTCAGAAGACTTTCGGAAGGGCGGAGTCGTGATGCAATCGCGCGGATGTGGCAGGCCATTGAGCGCGTCGACGGCATGCAAATCGGGGAGAAGACGGTCTGGGCCTCAGGATGCAGCTCCGTGAGAAGATCCTCGTCGAGCGATATGCCTGCAGGTTGCAGTTGCTGGCTTCGTGAAGCGTCAAGATCGCAGGGAGCTTAGGGTATAACAGTGGGTTGCGCAGCCAACAGCGTGTCTATCACCGAAGGTGAGAAGCCAGCAATGAACACCTTCACTAATGCTGGGAGCCAAAACCACCGACATTGACAGGCTATATGCTTGTTTCTGTCCGACTGAGATTTACATCAAGAACTTCCCTGACGACTGGGACGAGGACCTTGCTAACCTGAAGCATCTCAGAAAGAAGCTGGAGAGAAGTAGAAGTTTGTGCCACCTCACTGTTTGATTTTTTGCAGAAAGGTCTATTTCAGAAGTGAGTGAGACTAATCTCGTACTCCTTCAGGACAAGCTCAAGGCGGAGTTCGCACCGCACGGAAGTGCTGGCACCTCATTCGTTCAGCGCACGGAGCACGGAGACTTAACATGTAAATTGAGTAAAAAGATGTCTTCATCTGCATGCTTTGATAGTTTGCCCTTACATTCCTGACCCAGCCCTCAGATCACGTCCTCCCATGTGACGACCGACAACAAGGTGCAGAAACCTGCCAGAACGCCTTGAGAGCTCGGACCAATTCTGCCGGTCAGGGCCGGAAGTCTGCATTCCTCAACTACGAGACTCACGACGGGGCTGTTCAGGCGCTTCATGGCTGTCTGACGCACGGTGTATGTAGGGAGTACATGGAAGAAGGGACCGGCCTGCAGGCTATCAGTACTATGCACCAGAAGGATTGCCGTACTGACGAGCAGAAGGAAGCAGACAAGGACCTGCTCTGCATCTGGCAGCTGCTTCTGACTGCCATATGCATGCAAAGTTTTGCTGCAAGACCTCTGCGCATGTGCTTCCAAACTTGAGAGCGTCCTGCAGGAAAAGGAAGAGGAAGAGAAAGATCGCACCGAAAAGAGCAGCTCGGCTGTAACCGCGAGAACTCTCAATTTTTTTCCTCCCTCAGAGCTGCCAACGACGGCGACGGCATCAGGCTACTTGCTCTATGTTGCCCGCGCGCAGTCCAAGTACGAGCGCCAAATGGAGCTCAAGGCCCTGGCCCGCTTCTGCAGGGGCCGTGGGGCATCTGCAGGGAACACTTCGGCTTTCGGAGGAGAAGATGCCGCCAAAGGACCCGGCGGCCGGACAGTCGTCACGTTCACAGGGTGTCAACCTCTACATTAAAAACTTGGCCTCGACCTCAGAATGTCAGACGTAAGTGTAAGAAGCCGTACACATGGACATTGGCGCCTTGACCGCTGAGGATGAGGCCACGGACGACGACTCCTTAAAAGCTCTTTTCGAACCCTTTGGCAACATCACGTCGGCGGTAGCCATGAAGGAGAGAAGCTTGCAACATGTTCACTTCGGGCACTGCTTGATGGTGGGTGCTCCGCACAGGAGGGTAATGGCAAATGCAAGGCAAGATCAGTGGCAATGAGATGCAAAGTCGAGGGTTACACTTCGCAGCTCACCGAATGTAGCCGTGATTGCATGACGCGTGCAGGGCTTTGGCTTCGTGTGCTTCTCCTCTCCGGACGAAGCCACCAAGGCGGTTACCGAGATGCACCTCAAGGACGGAGCCACTTCTCTACAGTGCCTGAGCGTCTTGGACAATTCCGGGACCCAGCTTCCGATGATAGGTCGTGAAGGGAAAGCCTTTGTACGTGGGCCTGGCAGAGAAGCGTGACGTCCGAGCCGAGCGCCTGCGTGGCCTGGCCCGACAAAATCTCATGACTTATGACGGTTATGCAAGTGCAAACCAGCCAAGCTGCTCAGTTTGGAATCCTGAGCAGCCGAGGTCAGCGCTACTCCCCTAGCGGCATGGGCAAGGGCATGGGAGGAGGAAAAGGAAAGGGTGGAAAGGGCGGTATGGGCATGGGCGGCATGGGCATGGGTGGTAACCAGATGTACGGTAACCCGATGGGCGGCATGGGTGGTCCCATGGGAGGTCCGCCAATGATGGGCATGGGTGGCATGGGCAAAGGCAACATGATGGGCCCGGGTGGGCCGAATCCAGGAATGATGGGCCAGAAGGGCAAGGGCATGCCGAACATGCCAATGAACCCTCAGATGATGGGAATGGGTGCCATGGGCAAGGGCATGCCTGGTGCGATGGGAATGCCCGGAGCAATGGGCAAAGGAGGCATGGCGATGCCAATGGGCCCCATGGGCCCAATGGGCCCAATGGGAATGATGAGACCCGCCATGCCTCAAATGCCGATGATGCGCCCAGGCCGGATGCTAGGGTTTGCTGTGGCAAAGCTTGGAGCGGCGTTTGCGAGGCATGCCTGCCCCAATGCCACAGCCTACGCAGCCGACACCCGCCGCCAACCCAGGCACGGAGCTTACGATCACGCTACATAGGCTCTCGCGCTCCATGCACAGCTAGTGCTCAGAGTTCGGTGTACAAGGATCTGGGCAGCAACTGACAGCTGCAGCCCTCGCCGCTGCTGCACCGCCAGCGGCATGCCTAGTTTTGTCAACATGGCAGTACCACTGCCAATCAAGGCATCTTACACGGCTTGTTTGTCAGCGACATGCGGAAGTAAAGCGAAACATGCGGCTTGCTGTAGCTGCAGCAGTAGCAGCAAGCTGGCTGGTGATAGCTCCATCAAACACGAACCAGCCGAAACAAACTCTGCTTCAAAGTTCGGTCTTACTGCGGCCGGATGATAGCAGATCACCACATTACTACATATCCGATAGTCTGCAGATGCACTTGTGGATGACCATGCTGCTAGAGTGTACAGTCAGGCCACGAGGAGTCGTCTGGCAATCACGTTCGTCTGGGTGGGCAGCGAACCCTGGGTTGGGCATTGACACCACAGTGCCGTACATAGCTGGACACGGATCAGAGGCAGCCTGTCGGGTTGCTTGCGACCGGCTGATCATGAACGAGCTTGCTTGACCCTGTCAATCTTGCTTTTCAAGGACAACCTTGCCGCCGCACGCCCCATTTTGCACACAGATGTTCAAGGTTGCCGGGCCTTATCCCCCAACACCCGACCCAAACACAGACCACTTGGCTGGTTCTCCTGACATTGCTGATTGCTGACCACAGGAACAGAATCCACATGTCCAAGTAAAACATAGAGGTTCAGGAAGCGCTTTTGCAGCGCGGAGCTCCAAAGCACAGCTTTATACGGCTTCAGTAAGCACAGAGCGTC